GCAAAAACGAGCGATTCGTTCTGTGTACCGTCTAGGCTCTCGGATTTCTCTGAGAAAAGTTTAAGGAGACTGGTGTCATGACCGTGGCATCACAATACATTTACTCAAATATTTTGTATGCCCGTAAAAATATACATAATTTCAATAAGAAAGAACATATCCATAATATTAACCTTAGAGCTAAGTCCAAACTCATGGTATCACGAATTCGTTTAACCAAGGTAGGTAAACGATTCTTTTTGGGGAACTGTGTACGTTTTTACAATAAGATTCCGGAGTATATATTAAGATTATCATTTCATAAGGTTAAAAACTATATTAAAAATATTTTGATTGAAAGTCATATTACAAAATTGAAGACTACGTGTTAGATAAAGATGTATGGAATGACGACACGGCTCCAGAATCCACACAAGTTTGATTCAAAGTGTATTCCATAGCATTTAAGTTTATTTGAAGAGCAACCCTAGATTTTATTGCTCGATCTACTCAGGGAAGTCAGCGTAGTGAACGAGCAGTGGCTTAAATGTGACGTTTTCAAGTGTAAATTTATTTTACCTATGGAACAAATGATCTCTTTTTTGAGCTGGTTCGAACGTTTGCTGGAACATTCGTCGTGTTCACATGGATCTCATACCGTCTTAATTGTCACTGTACTCGCGACGTCAATACGAGTGTAGTTAGGATGAAGAGATTGTATTTATCATCATTACCATGGCGCCTCCGGAACGGCCTTCTATGCGCGTTGCGATTCTGTGCGGCCAAGTGGGATCGATTTTTAGGCCCGGTTATCACCTGAATCAGGCCAAATGCTGCATTTGATGCATTGCAAACTACCTAAATTCCCATTAAAAATTTTATTGTACAATAATTAGTCCCGCAGACTTCATTTTACATCACGGTTAGGATTGGCTGGAAGAGATCTCTTCTAGAGATAAGCTCACCTTTGTATATGTTATTTGTAACTTGTGTTGCATGTGTATTTTCTTTGTGCAATAAAGAATTATTATTATAAAATTGGACCTTACAGATTTGAACCTCGATCCCCTAGCCCAATCCCCCAGGAGATCTTTGTGTATTCAGCAGTTCATTAGAATCCTCTAAGTTAAATGTATGTAACGTTGCAACCACATTGCGACAATAAATAATTACTTATTGTACCGATCGGGTGATCGGGTTTTCTTGTCGTTTTCATAGATAACTTTTTGACTTGGGTAACGACTGGCTAGATGGGTGATAAGGCATCAATAAAATGACATTAGTGTAGAAATTAATGGATGTCTATGGACTTTTGCCTTTCCGCAAAAATATTGAAGGTAAACAGAAGTTTGGATAAAAATACTATTGTTTTATTAGAAACAAACAACAGCGTACGGTTGAAGAATTATTTATTATATCACCATTATACATAGTTGTCACTTATACGTGTACAAAAGCGACAAAGCCTTCCATAGCTCAATTGACTTTGGCATGAAGTTTCAATGTATTTGTGCTGCCGAGACGGCTGTGGGCGCCAAATGACATAGCGCGCTAACAAGCACTGCTCTAATTTAGAACAATTTTGAACAAAATACAATTGCGCAAGTCACTTGGCACTAAAATTTAAAAATAAACAACGGGACTATGAAATTTTGAAATCAGTTAAAAAAACCAATATATTTTTTTCCTTATTTGCTTATTAACGTCTCTAAGCAGAAAGGTAAAGTAACGCAATATGGCTACATAGGCCAGCTCCTTACTATCAGGTTCATAAATTCTATTCAAAACTAGGTGAAGAAATAAACTAGCTACGTTATATATATTCAAATGTACTGTTAACAAAAACACCTGTTTTGCAATTTCCAAATCACACCACATTTCAAATATAAATTAATGTTTTCCATAGTACAAAACAAGAAAAATAAATACTACAATTATATAATAAAAATGACAATGTTTTTTATACACGCGACGTTACACATATTATATAAAGAAAAATGACATACAATACTCACACATTCATTCTAGTATGAAATGAGACTATGTACTAATATAACTCGAGGGGAGATATTCATACCACTTGTCTTTATTGACTTATAGTTGCGACGCGAATTCCTACCGAGCCAAAGCTTCGGCGTCAGCCTAAGTAATTTCAATAAGTACACGTAACCTAAAATACCGCACAATTGAGAAACATTACATTTAAACAAATAAATAAATCATTAATCTAGCCGTAATAAATCTAATAATTATTATTTGCACAAGATAGAATTTCTCATTTAGAATTTGAATTATATAATAAATATCCAAGGGATCATGTTTATTTTCATATTAACTATGAATATGAATAACAAATCTGATTTCCATGCATTCAATTTACTATAAGTAGATGACGAGAGAAAACTTTGAATATGAATTTTAAGTTTTTTAATTGTAAAAAAAAAAACAAGAAAATAACAATAACTAGCATACCGCCCGCCTCGAACTTCTAAAATATTCCTATATTCGAAATACATCACAATAAATACAACACTAGGGAGCGAAAATATCTATTTCTGCTTCCAAGTGTATAACTACAAATTTTATTTTTCATAATTCATGGGCAAATGCCTCGCGTTGCAGGACCGATCGAGCTGGAGTGTCGGTAACTTCGAATTTGTATTAAATCAGACAGCGCCATGAAGTCGCTCTATCACTATTCATTTACGCGTATACTTTATTCATAAGGTTTTGTGTAAATACGAAGCACAGTTTAAAGCTTATTGCATTTTCGTACATATTGAGTAGGCATCGTAATAGAGCTACTTCGTGGCATAAGGATAACGGCGTGATAACAGAGCATACAAGGTAATAAAATACTAGTAATATTATAGAGTGGGCTAGGTGGGGAGGGTGGGCTATAAGGTGGCGGGGGGTACTGTGATGTCGTTGCGGAGGAGCGCGGCGCGGAACGAGTCTAGGGAGGAGCGGAGTGTGAGGCAAAAACCGCGGGAGGCGGGGATTAGTGGGTACTCCGGGGGCGCTGTTTCTGGGGGAGCTTCCCCGTTGGACAGGGCCACGAGGCCTTCGAGTCTATGGCAAAGTCTGGCGGCGTGGTTACGCATATGTTGCAAAATCTCCTCACGGAACGGCTCCGGCGGATTCGTCAGCATCTTGGTCATGGACTGGACGAGTTTCAACAGCACCATCTCGTTGTACATTCGCGAGTTCTCTTTGCCTTGCTGAGTGCCTATAATTGAAAAACTTGTATTTAACTATCTGTACCATGTACATACTAGTCTAAGTACAATGTGCCAGGTCTACAGGGCGTTAAGTAGTTGACTGCGCATTTAAAAAAATCTTGTTTGGTATTTAAAATAGAAGAGAAGTTGATGCGAAATAATGAAAAATGAAACAGTATTTATAATTTCTGGAAGTGCCAGCACACCGTACTAAAGAAATTGATAAAGATAGCCCGTCTTGAGTTTGGCAGAAGTAAGGAGTGAAGATATAATTATTGGTACTTGTATACAAGCACTTGTGGTAGTTCTTACAATGATCTGCTTGGCATTTAATGAGGTTTTAAGAAAAAACTTTTAAATAAAATTTCGTCTATTCAACATTGATTTGTTCCAGACAGTTTGGTCAAATGCTTTGCTTGGTTGAAACATTTTTGTGTTTATTCACATGCATTTCTGAGGTACTAATAGAATTAATAATTGGTAAAAGAATGTATATATCTTAGACTATGGAAACTAAAGGACATGTTACGTTGACATATATAAATCAGACGTTATATGTATATGATGCATTTCGTCGTCGAAAACATAAACATATTATTGTCTTTGTTTAACTATTACGTGCCGTCTTAAGCCAAAAGAGATAGCATTACATTGGTCTGTGTCAAACACGGGAATCGAAAATTCGTAACGTCGTTTTAAATGCCAACCGTGGCCATTTCAAGTACATGAGGTACATGATACCGTTGTCAAAGGGAAGTACATCAAATGTCAAAACAAATGTTTTTCCAAATGTATTATTGAATTATTCACATGTATTATAATTAAATTGGACAAAAATATTGACAGTGAGAATAATTAGGTATTAATAAAAATGCGACGCTGCAGCATTAAAGGATGCGGCTTTAGAAAAATGCAAATCAATCGAATGTTACATTGCACAGGCATGTGTTATTTTTTTGTCTATAAATCACACAATAGCCCGAATATTTTATGTAATTAGACTTATTTAAGTAGTTTATTTATAAATCTTGCCAAATTTTGCTTTTGTTACTTTAGATTGCCTGTTTGTTTGTATATTTTGATGATTGTTGTTAACGATTATTTTGAGATAGTGTTGATCTTGTAAGCATACATATTATCGATATTCTGTTATTAAAACAATTCACTATGAGGTTTTTATTGTTTTATTATTATTATTTCAAGTTTTCCTACAAATGAAAAAAGGAAGAAAGAATGGTTGGAAATCATAGGACTGCCGAATATAAACGTTGGATCAAAGACCATCTTCATTTGTTCCCTTCATTTTGAAGAGTCAAATTTTAACAGAACTTTAAATGTAACTAGATTACATGACAATGTTATTCCATCATTAGGTTTATTGGTAAATAATTTTATGTTCAATTTAGATTAAACAAGACTCATTTACTAGCTATTCTCAGTTCCTGAAAACAAAATTATCCACTCGTTTCTGATTTTTCCCAATGACAACTCTAACTATTAAAAATGACTATTTTTTTAAAGCCTGCAATACAATGACAACATACCAACGTATAGACAGCCTATTTGCCTTGCCTTGCCTTGTTCGGTGTCACTCGCCTAGCTGACCGAGTGAAGGCGAGCGCCAACGTGTATAGAGTTCATTCGGCTTATCACAAACCAAAGGCGCTCGACCAATAGCGTTCACACGTTAGTCCGTCCGCATATGAAATGCATACTGGTTTTATAACTCTATTCAAAAAAAAATCAAAACACAAAATAAAGAAGTACCTATATATTATATATCAAGAAAATGTCATGTTGTTCTGTTTCTGGAATAATCAGCATCCACCACGTTCGTTTTTGTCATTTCTTTTTTGCAACTTTATTGCGGGGATTCACTGACATGATAATTATAGGCGCCCATTAATAAGTAGCAGCAGCTACAATAACTTCTACGTCATCCTTCCCGTTTCAACGCACAATAAAAACTGACAGCGACCAACGTGTGGGCAGCTACACAAAACTCTTGTGCAATGATTGTTTGTATTGATCTTTTTCAAACTTGTTGAACGTGTAGACGGTAGTACTAGCTGTGTATTAATTTGCCTGCGCTCGCGTTGGGCTAGACTCGACCAATATGTATTTGTACGCTTACTTGTTTACTCTACAGCCAACTGTATAGCCAAATACATCTGGAATGTTAACTGAAGTGCAGAAAATGCAGACAACAAATGCTATTACCCAGGTGAGTGACAATCAAGCATAACAATTTCTAACACACTTAGACAGTGTTTTTTAAGATGCTTACTTGTTTCAGCCAATTGTATAAGGTACTTCTAGAATATTAAATCAAGTGCAGAATATGCAACAACAAATGCTGTTACTGACTCGACCTCTGATTAATTTGATATGTATATAAATCAATAATCTTAGGAGTAGTAATTTTAAATTGGCATCTATTTTTTATAATAGTCAAAATTTATAATATAATAGGTATTATTTTTACATTTAAATTGATTTGGTTTTTAAATTTTAGGACAATATTGTTAGAGGATTGAAAAAGAAATGTGAGAATCAGCTGAGAAACATTAAAAGTTTAAAGGAAAAAATCAGACGACAGAAAGTAAAAATTGCCAATATGGAAAAAGTCATGTCCGAGCTCAAGGAGCGGAACTTAATAAATGCTGAACAAGTAACATTTTTTGAAGATTGTTCGGGCCCAAAAGATTTCCTAAAGAGGCAAATTAGGAAATCTAAAGGTTTACCACTGGGAAAACAGTACAGTGAGGAAATAAGAAAATTTGCGCTTACTCTCCACTTTCTGTCACCAAAAGCATATAATTTTGTTCGTTCGACGTACAACACCTGTCTACCACATGCGCGTACGTTAAGCAAATGGTATCAAAATGTTAATCCTGAGCCCGGCTTCTGCCAGGAAGCCTTTGATACTTTAAAAATGAAGGTACAATCAAGTAATACGCCAGTTATATGCTCGTTAGTTTTGGATGAAATGTCTATAAGAAAGTCCTTATGTTGGGATGCCCAAAGTAAGACTTATTGTGGTAGAGTAAATTTTGGTACTAATTTGAACAGTGATGCCTTTGAAATAGCCAACCAGTGCCTAGTTCTTCTACTTACGTGTATCAACGGAACCTGGAAACTCCCAGTCGGTTATTTTTTTATTACAAGTTTAACGGGTGATCAAAAGTCTGCACTGGTGGAGCTATGTATTAAAAATTGTGAACAAGTAGGCATTAAAGTTGTAACTTTAACTTGCGATGGACCTGCAAGTAACTTTAGTATGTTCTCTTCATTAGGATGTGACTTGTTAAAAGACCAAAATAAGACCGACTTTGTTTGCAGCGAAAGCAATATACACGCCTTTATTGACCCATGCCACGCCATTAAATTAGTTCGAAATGCATTTGGTGAGTTAAGAATATTTTACGACGCATCGGGAAGAAAAGTTAATTTTGCATATGTAGAATTATTACAAAAAATACAAGATACTAAGGGTCTACATATGACCACTAAATTAACCAAGGCTCATGTTTTTTTGATAAACAAAATATGAAGGTTCGTTTGGCGACTCAATTAATGAGCAATTCAGTGGCAGATGCTTTAGATTATTGCGAAAATGTTTTAAAGCTTAAAGATTTTCAAGGGTGTGCAGCAACAGTAAATTTTATAAAATTATTCAATGACGTGTTTGATTGTTTAAACAGCCGTTCTCTACGGCCTTCTGCCTGGAAGAAAGCCTTATGTCCAGAAAATATTGGATTAGCACAGGCTTTGTTTGAGGGTGCCATTGGCTACATAAAAAACTTACAATTGCCATCAGGGAAACTAGTCATAAATTCACCAAGGAAAATCGGTTTTATTGGACTCATCATAAGCATGACTAGTGCTTTAAAATTATTTCAGTACCTAGTGCAGGATACAGCCTTACTCAAATATTTACCTCTATACAAGACGAGTCAAGATCACCTTGAACTGTTTTTCTCCTCAATTAGATCACGTGGCGGTTTTAATGATAATCCAAACGTTGTCCAATTTAAGGCTGCATTTAAAAGATTAGTAATTCGGGCGGAAATAAGAGATGAAGGTGTAGGCAACTGCATTCCACTTGAACAAATAAATATATTAACTTGTTCGTCTAAAATACACCCCGTAACGTCTATAAATGATTTAACAGAAAAAAAATCTTTTGTGGAAGTGCCAGAAGATGATAGCGACTTATACGAAGATTTCATGGATTGCTTAGATAATAATAATTTAAGCAATTATATTCAATGTGTAGTCACATATATTGCTGGCTTTGTTGTAAAAAAACTGTGTAGGTCTCTAAAATGTGACAATTGTTTAGACATGTTGTTTTGCAGTGATAGGGGTTTTGCACCTAGTTTAATAATGCAAAAAACTAGGGGTGGCCTGACTTATCCATCCAA